AATTTATTTCATTTAGCTTTGGTAAGGCATTGTACACATACATTATATAATATATATCTGGCATATTTTTATACATTTGCACATATTATATTGTGTGCATTTATTTTAGATTTCCCAGTTTGCTGAAACACAGATTTTTAAAGTATGTTTTCATGATTCTTTGAATTTCTTCAATCTTTGTGGAAGTCTCTCCCTTTTTAAATAAAATTTCATTAAATAGAATCCTCTACTATTTATTTTGGTAAATTTGCCTACTTTTAAAGAAAATATTGTAGCTCATTTAAAAGCATCAACTCTTTATTTCATTGGGTCTTTGAAATTTTTATTTCTATTTTTATTGACTTTTAGCACTGATTTTGAATATGCCATCTCTCCTAATTTTCTGGGTTGTTGTTTTTAGTTCTTTAGACATTAAGATGCATCGTTAAGTTTTTGGCTTGAGAGTTTTTATATTTTCTGATATAGGCCTACAATAATATAAGCTTTGTTGTACCCTATATATTTTGGTATGTTATGTTTTTAATTTTATTAAATTCTAAGCATTTTAAAAACTTCTTTCTTGGTTTATTTCTTACTTGAAACAACACAGTTAATATCCTAGAGGATGTTGTTTGGTCTCTATGAGTTTATGTTTTTCTATCATTTATATTGCTGTCAATTCCTAGTTTTATTTCAATGTGGTAAGATAGAATACATGTTGTTATTTCAGTTTTCCTGAAAGTGTTGGTACTTGTTTAATGTTCTAAAATGTGTTCAATTTTGGAGAACGTTTGATGGATTGCTAAAAAGAATGTGTATTCTTCAGTGTTTAGGTAAAATGTTATGTACATATCTGTGAGGTCCACTTGAATTATAATGTCATCAAATCAATCAGGGGAAACTTGTTCCAATCTCCTAGGTTACACTTTTGAAGACAGGAAGGTTGTATTTTATAAATAGAAGACATAGGATAGAGAAATGCCACAAAACAGAGAAAATCAATAATTAACACTGCTATGTAGTAACACTTTCCTAAACATAATATCTTCCTGAATATTTGATAATTTAAAATAAACCTTTTAAACCATAAAGTTTACAAAGACATATTTCAAGTCCTATAAATCACAACTATCAACCCAGACTATTATACTTAGCAAAACTATCAATTAAAATTAAAAGAGAAATAAGTGAGAACTTGAAAAAGTAATTTACAACTACTATGCTGACTCTAAAGATGATACTAAAAGGAATGTGTCAATCTGAATAGGTGAAGCACACCTAAGAAGTAATAGTCTACAAAGGTAATGTGGACTGGTTGTTGGTCTCAAAGACAGATAGAAAAAAAGGATGTTACTAGGCCTCTAAGTATACAGGTTATAGCATGGTGACTGGAGAGTCTCTAGTGGAAAGCAAGCTTGAATCTGGGTCTCCACACCAGTTGAGCAGACTCCTTAGCTGTCTTTCATTGCCTAGTTTTTTTCATGAGGACTAGTGTTAACTGACATGGTAACACACACACACACACACACACTCCACAAAGAAAAACAAACAACCAAAAAAATATAAATAAAATTCTGGGCTTCCAATTCTAGACACCAGTATTTAGAAAGAGTCCAGGTAGTTACCCAAGAGGATATTAGTGAGGTTTCTAACACTCAAAGTTTAGATACCACAACACTAGCTACCCAGTTCAGAGATACTGACTTTGAAAGCCCACTGTTTGGTTATTCAGCTATCACAAGGTGACTAAAATGTTCCAAAAAATGTCTGGCAGCAGATTCTTTGAAAATTACAAAAATGGTGGAAATAGTGGAAAGCAACTGGAGAGAAGATAATCCGAGAAGAGAAAACTGAAAAGAGCCAAAATCACTGAAACAGTGAGACTCACTGCCTTTGAAGTTCCAGAGGGCTTCAAAACGTCCTGACATTAGGAAACTGTGGCCGACAGCTACACAGTGCTTGGCTCCTGACTTTAAAGGTTCACCTCTTCTTCAGACCTGAGCAACTACAGTTTCAAGCTGTAAAATCAGGGAGGTCTGAGTTTCCATTGCTGAGTATCTAGAACTGTAATTTCAGAGGTGTGCAAGTTTGGTGTACAGGATCTCACATCTGCTGACCCTGGGAAAACCACCACTTATTTCCATTCTAGTGGAGGGAAAGGGCCCAAGAATTTAAATGGAAAACAATCCTCAGGCAAATCTAAAACCTATTTGAATGTTAATTACTTAAGAAATAATCACTGACATAAATCTGTGAAAGGAGAAAGAGAATGAGGAAGGTGGTTAAGAGGTGAAAACAACTTGATAAGAAGCTGACTGCCAGCCCAGAGGAAACACCTCAAATGCAATAAAAATTAAAGTCATTAAAGCTATGAGAGGAGTCTCAGAGAATGAATCTGATTTGCTCCTGAAAACAATATATCACAAAGGAGAATGTGTGAGAAGGACCACACATTCCAGAGAAAAGTGTTAGATTCAGACAGGAAGATGGGGAGGGATATGAAACCCAGGGGACTCTTAAGTTGTGTTTTCAGACTTAAAAATTACATGATGATGGGGATTAAGAGAAAGAAGGGGTGCAAGAGATTTGAGGGGTTTTTATTAGACTTACAAGAAAATTGAGAAAATTGATAGCTTAAGATCTGTTAGGAGTTGAGCATGGTTGGATCAGGGCACAAATAAAGGAACGCTTTAAAGTTACTGCTGAATATTCAATAATAGATATTTTATGACCTCACTTAGAATAAAGATTTTTTTTAAACATTCATTGGCTGTGAAATTGTGCCCAGATCTGTCCTTGTGATCTGAGCCCTACACCTTCATGCCATCAGGTTTCAATAGATGTGAAGTGACCTCTTGTCCCCTCGGGTAGGAAAGAGAAAATACACTCTAGCTTGGCTTTGTCCTCTTAAAACCAGTCATTAATTCTATGTCTGCTGCCAAAAGATGTTTATATTTTTGTGCTCTGTTTTTATGATTCTTTCCAGCTGCCTGTTGTGCAATCCCTTTGATGCAATTTGTGGAGCTGGAGGAAAAGGTTTTGTCTTAGCAATACTCAAAAAAATCTCAAGCAACCCTTTACCTTTAATGTGCTGGACTAAGCCAGGCAAATTATGAGAAATTAATACGGAACAAATTGCACTTCAAAGTGTGATGCTGTTAGACATCCTTTTCACACTGGTAACACTGTTTCCAAGCATGAGGGTGCAGAACTGTCTTAGTTGAAACTGGAGACGTGATGTGAGCTGCCTTAATTCCCAGGCTTCTCTGTCCGTCTGTCCCTTGTCATTACCTGGCTGATCACAGCATAGGGTCTCATCTCGGTTTCAGTAGCGGGAAAATCGGATCTCATTTCCTCCTAGTCTCACAATAACTTTAAAAAGAGGAGTTCAAAGCCCAGTTTTGTACTTGATATTTATGGTAAGAAGTGATCGTATCATGTTTAGGTTGCTGAAATTTAAGTGTCCTCCAGGGTGGGTAATTAAAAGGTACATGAGACTTCCCTTCAGGAGATTTGCAATCTCTTGCAGCAGTGGACATTTTGCTAATATCTGTGGTTGAATTTTTTCAAATCATTAGAACCATTTTTAAGTTAAATAATATATTCACGCCATATGAATATTGAAGTGTAATTCCTCTGCTTTAACTCCTTATTTCATTGAGAAAGTTAAAGAACATCAGCAGCAACAACAAAAAACAACTAGAAGCTTTATCATTGTCACATTGATAGGCCACATATTAAAATCTAAAGGTATAACATATTGGTTTGATAAATACAAATAATAAGGAGGAAAATGATTTATAGTTAATAATGTGTGGTTTTCTAGCATAACTAAACAGCAATAATATTCACTGACAAATGATAGAGGATCTGTCCTTAAATGAATTTTTTAACAAAATTTTACAACACAGGGATGTTTTATTTCTTTGCTATTTATTCTCAAGTTGTCAGTGGTGTAGGGAGTTGGTAGGAAATTAATGCACATTTTAAACAACAAAAACAAGATCTATTTGAAAATATGTGTTGTCTTTCTACCCATCCTGCATGTGTTAATTTTCTGTTGTAGTACAATTTATATTCCTAGGGGAAGAAAAGATTTCAACAACTAATATCTAACTGTAAAGAAATTTTGCCCACAACCTTTAAAAAGATGTACTTGCATGGATTACAAATGTCTTCGTCGCAGCTTATTTATCGTGGCTGTTTGTTTTGTGTTATTGTTCGGGCCCTCCCTGATGAGGGTGCTTCAAGTCCAAGTAGTGAACTCAAGATACAGCAACTCAATAAAAACTTTAATTAATCAGGGTATAAGCAAAGTATATAAAACTGTCACACACTGAGGAAAACATAAAATATTCTAATTGAAAGTGTCATCTCTTTGGCATAACACTTTCATTCTCTTTTACTACATCCTTACACAGTTGTCCTTCAGTACACAAGAAAATACCAAAGGAGAACAGCCCGGGGAGCCTGGGGCATAGCAGAAAACAAGCCTACAGCACATTAATACTTAATGATCATTTTTAACAACACACATATAAAGTAATTTGCGAGCAATAGCAACCACAGTTCTGAACAGGAATCGACGCAATGCTGATGTACTGCCTGAATCTGCGTCATGAGTCATCTTTTCATGACTTTACTCAGGGATGAATTAGGCAAAGTCACAAAAAGTAAAAGCCAGGGAAACGCTGACATTTAACCTAAAAAATATCAAAACTTTGATACGTATATTAAACAAATTTAAACTCCACGGCGAAAGCATCCAGAGTTCAAGTCTAATAAATGGCCACAGCAGGGTCTTTTTGAGGCTTGTAAGATAAAAGATCTACCACAAGGAGGTACAGTAGTCCAACAATGAACTTGGATAGGTCACAAAACCCCATACTGTGATGCCACAAATACGTCAGAATGACAAAGCAAAAAACACCACTGCCTGGCCTTACCTGTTTTCTGAGGCCCAATTACAAGGAATTTTGGTAAATGATCACAAGTTTTCTCCCTGGACCAGATGTCTTTGTGTCGTTTGTCATCGCACGGATTCTGCAAGAGAGAATAACACGTCTTACTGAATCCTGAACCCTGGCTGCTACGTCTTAACCATGTTTCAAGTAAGACAGGATGAGATTCTTGCCTGATCTCCTAGAGCTGGGTATTACATCCTGTTCTGGCTCTTTGAGTCTCAATTCCTTTCCTCAAGCAGTGATTAGCTGGGTCCCCTACCCAAGGCCACGTAAACCACAGCCTCGAATCATTCCTGCTGCGATGTTCGTGTGATTTATGGCAGATAATAACGGAGACTCTGCTCTGTCTGTGGTTTGTGTTTTAGCTGTGTCTATGCATCAAAGTTTTTTTCACTTGACTGAGCCTCCCTTGACTCTAGTTTCACAGCCTCTCTTTTTCTTTTCTGTTTTTTTGTTGTTGTTGTTGTTTGTTTGTTTTGTTTTCAGCACTGAAACATCTGTATCTTAGAGGCTGGGTACTTTATTTTCAATATAAGACGGCTTTCTTTGGAAAATGTTTCTGAAGGTATTACTTGTTAGATGAGTTGTTTTGAATTATGATGCTTCCAATCACATTGCCAAATATAGGTTAAAAAAATCAGTTTCCCATATTGCCTTCTTTCTAGGAGAGAGTATATGTTTATCCAATTAATGATGCTAGGTCTGTCAAGAAATGTTTGCACAAATAAACCTCCATTTTCCAAATAGAGAACAGGTTGAAATTTTTTATGTTCTTTCAACACTTATTAGTAAATTTGTTTAATCTCACCAATTTAATTTTTCATTTCAAAAAATAAGAGGGTGAAGCACTAAATGACCTACCAAGTACTTTGGATTATAAATATATGGCACTATGGTTTTAAATATATTTTTAACTTTTAATTCATTTGGTAAAATTATTTTCTCCAAGTAACATTTTGGCATATTTTTCAAAATGTGTCAAGCTTTTTTCTCATATTATTCAGAGGTGGCACACAGCTTCTCCTTGGCCCGTTGGCATGATGTTCTTTGCACCAGATGAAAAACAAGAGAACACTCTGGCTGCCTGGCTCAGAGAAAGGCACTGGAGAGGGTGAAAACTTGAATAACCATATGTTCTTGTGATCCCAGGTACTTCAGTGACAAAAGCAGAGTTGTAAAGATTATGAGTTCAAGACTAGCTAAGACACTGTCTCAAAACCAGTCCAGACCAGAATAGAGACATGATGGAACTTTGAACACAAAGTTCAAATTTTAGAGGTGAAGACATGTGAATAATGCTGAAACATCCTGCCTGTGGCAGAGGTGAATTTTACATCTTCATCCCTTACTGCTAAAATGAAAGCAGAATGCTTGATCACTGTCCTTTGGGGGTAAGAGGCAGCAATATTTGTAGAAATCTTTGAATGTGGCCGTAGATCAAAGAATGGGTTTCAGCCACGTGTCCTACAAGACTTGAGACACAGTGGCATCCATTGCCACACAATGTCTGGCAAACCATTGAAATGAGTCCCAGTGCATGTCACATACCCCTTAGAGCTTATGACACAGACTATCATTTGAAGCAGATAACTCAAACAGTTTCATATATGGCCAAGCTCTGGAAGAAAGAGACTTTCCCAATGGATAATGTAATGATATGATTATTTTCCTCATCAGAAACTTGTATTCATGTTCTGCAAATCAGAATTCTAGATATATCCAGTAACATTTCTTTATAAGATGGAAGTGATATATCAGGGATTGGTCTTTAGCATATCTGAGTATCTCTAACAAGATTCCCATGCTCCCCTGTCACCTGCATTTTCCCATGGATGCCTCTCAAGTCTCTCATTTCTGACTTTCATGATAGGTTTCTATAATCAGGTGAGGTTTGTGGGAGGGTTGACACATATTTTGGCAGCATCCTAAAATAGATTTTTGCTCCAGTGTAGTTCTATATGAAATTGTTCCTACAATTACCACTTAACAGAACCTTTAAATGGGCAGAATTTAGGGTAATAGAGCAAATTTTTAGAAGACCTGGAGGTCTTTACACTTGGAGGTCTGTTTGAGCCAATCATCGTAAGTAAAATAGACACTGTATTTTGAGAATAGGACACTCAGACTGCTAGGTCACTGGGTGCTCCATACTTAGCTACCTGCAAAATGTAAGGAACAGCAATCATGATAGGAGAAGTGTTGGATATCAGTTAGAACAGAGTCTACTACTGGTTTTGCCTCACAGATGGAACTATCTTTGTTTGCTCTGGCACTGCCTCTCTGATAGAATGCCTGGAGAAATTCATAATAGGAGAGCCAGTGGTGCAGAACATAGCTATTGCTACAGCATCTGGTCCTGAGACAGTACCAGAGACTCCAGGAGAGACTTCTAGTAATGAAAGCGAGAGTCCAAAGTGAGGAGGTCCAGAATAGAAGAGAAGGGGGGAAGAGAATGTATTGACAGTAGCGTTGGCACAAAATGTAGCAACTGGGTTACAGATCCTCACAGCAAACTTCTTCTGGGTTTCCTTAGGAAGAAGGTTGTTGGAAATCTTGTGAAAACTGCCTGTTTGTAGTGAACCATGAGAAGATATGAGAAAGTGACCGGACGTGTGGTATTTCCCGTGGAGGATGCTTTTCTGGCTGCTGGAAATGGCAACCGTGCTGCTTCACACAGCTTCTTCAGGCAACTGGACCTCCCAGGCCTTCATCTGTAAATGGGTGGGGGGAGGGCAGATTGGAAATTTGCCCTTAGCTGGGCATCTCCCTCCTGCTCTTCACTGGTGGTCCGTATCCAATGCCTAATTTGAGGGTACAAATGTACCCACTCCTCTCAGAAGGCACAGGTATCTATATGAATAGTCTTCCATGAGGGCAAGGCAGGGCTACACTTTGATGAGGTCACATTCTCACTTAGAACTTTCTCTTTTGTCTATCCATAATTTCCCTTATGGATTTCCCCGCAAAATGTTGCCTCTGTCAATCTCTCTAAAGAATACTGTTTATGGCAGAAGCCACTCAAACCTCATACGGTTTGAAGATGCACACGTTCTAAATGAACTTTACCCCCTGACCTCCTATTGATACTACCATGAAACATAAATATACAAATGTCACATGTCTTTTCCCTTTTTTTATTTGAAGATTTTATATATTCATATTATGTGCCCTGATTCAATTCATTCCCATGTCCCACCCTATAGTTCCGCAACACCGCAACACCCCTTTTCTTTCCCAACATTATATCCTCTGTTTTTAAAACCCACTGAGTTAATTTAGTGCTGCCTGTAGCTGCCCGGATTTAGGACCATCTACTGGGGTATATGTCGCCTCTCATAGCCTGGATCCCAGAAAAAAACTCTCTCCCCTAGTAGTTATCCATTCCTATCGCTCCTCAGGCATGGTGAGAATTCATTTTTATCGCCCCATCCATGCTAGTGCTTTGTCTGGCATGATCTTGAACAGGTCTTGTAGATGCACACTGTGGTAATGATAGGTACATAAGAACTAGCACGCACACTATGAACTCATACCTGCAACTGCCTGTTGGATCCACAGAGCAGTTTGGTGCTAGTCACCTACTACTTCTGACTCTTACAAACTTTCTCTACTGTCTTGATCTGTTTCTGAGTCTTGGGAGGGACAATGATATATATATGGCCCATTTTTGGTTAAATACCAGTAACTCATAAAGACAATAGAAGTGTGGGATAATTTACTTTGGAAAAGTTTAAGCTATATCTCTTGGATTTTCCAATAATTTCATCTATAGAAAAGCTAAAAGTGGAGTGATGCAAGCTGTTAAAGTCAAAATTCCTTCTTTTAAAATATATAAAGAGAAGACATTGCATTTTACATTGACTATTGTCTGTTTCTTACAATATTCTCTTTGTTATCCAATCTTATACCTTCTGTAGTCTAGGCTTAGCTTAATTCTCTAGCAATGTTTTCCATGGTGGCAAAGAAAATTCGGCTTTCTTTCATCTTTATGATTTTTTATTTTATTTAATAATGGAGTGTTCCTTACTGTGCTTAGTACACAAGCCTCCAAACTAGAGATTATATTTTTCAATCTCTCCTGAAGCTGCCTTCTGGTGAAAAGTTCTTAAACAACTGAAGGTGAGACAAATGAAATAAAGACTCCCTTTTAAGGCTAAAGCCACCATCTTTTTGTCTCCATTTTTGTGGTTTCAGTTACTGTTTTCTATAATTAAAGGAGCCTGACTACACTCATAAAGACCGTAGGCAGCAGAACTTTCTGACCCAAGGTACTAGATTATGGTCTGGAACCGAAGTCTGTTTCCTACAATGCTCTCTTTAGCATAGTTAAGGGGCTGGGAATCACATTTCCATCTCGCTTCAAACAAGTATATTTTCACACCACTGCACAACACCCAAACTTTAGCATAATGTGTTTCAAAGTTCTTTTCTGTAAAAAAGTAATAATACGGATCTTGTAATGGAATGTGGATCAATATACTCCTTGCTTCAACTGGAATATTTTGCTTTGAGCTGTACTAAAAACACAGCTGAAAGAACCAGTGATCTTCAGGGAATAAAGTTAATGTACCCCTTGCATATGCTTCTTCTCTCCCTGGTGTATCAGCAACAAATGGTTTACGTCGACCTGCTCATGGACCACACCCAGCAGCACTGCTGGGATTAAGATCGCTCAGACCACCTAGTGCATCCGTCACGCTACATTCTCTATCAGAGAAATGGGAGAGTCTGCTTTAGAAACTTTGAATAATTCATTGTCCTGCTCAATGCCCAAATTTTCAAACAATTTGTAATCAAATTTTTGGCATTTTTTTTGCCTTATGCTAATACCCACTTCAAACTTCCCTCGGCCCAGTCAGTAAGAACAAGAACCCAGAGGGCTTGCCATGTTTTAGTTAATGTTCTTAAGTCTCTGAACCTTAGCTTCCTTATTTGCAAAGCAATGATTAATAGTTTCTACCATATGTGGCTTTTGTATCCATTAGATGCATTACTAGTTTTAAAATAATAAAATCATGTGATATATAAGAAAGTCGATATTATTTTATTTCATATCAGCCTTTTCTTTCCTTTTGCCTTATTAGTAATACATCTTGAACAAAGGGAGTTTAATTAACCACTGGATTATGTTATAAGGAACAATCAATAGGTCTATCTCCTTCCCTTGTGACCACAGACCATCTTCCTCCTGCAATGTCTATATTTTTATGTCATACTTTCTTCATATTTTAACACCTAAAATTATTTTGTTCAATATTCCAATCATTTCCTGCAGTTGAATTGTTGCTATAGTTTATCAGAAGTCCATCTGCAAGACTGTAAATTCTCTGAGCATGAGGCCATCTGCAGTCTTCATTGCTACAGTCTAGCCTATGAGATATTAAATAAAGGCTTGTAGACTGAAGCCTTACATCCAGACTTCCAGAAGACATAATCATTGTGGAGCAGGTTCAGACTGATTGTATGTTCAAGAAGGCTACCCTAGGCTCACTTATTATAGTGCATGTCTTTCCTGCCCTGATTTCTACTTTAAAACTGATGAAAAGCTTTCTGGGCTAAGAAGATGATTAAGTGAGTAAAGGGGCTTGTCACCAAGCCTAATAACCTAAGTTTAATTTTTCAGAATCCATATGATGAAAGGAGAGACTCAGCTTTCCACAGGTCTTCCTTTTCCTTCCATGTGTGCTACCCATGGAAAATAATAAAAGAGTTCTCTCTTTTACACACACACACACACACACACACACACACACACACACACACACGAAAGATAGACAGACAGACAGATAGATAGATAGATAGGTAGGTAGATAGATAGAAAACCCCATAGTTGATAAATAATAAAACTAGTTAAATTGATGTAATTCTCAGATATTGTACTAATAGATACAAGGTTATAAATGCGATTATCTGGTGCTAAGATGGTGGAATACCCACTGCTCCAAATGCTTCATTAATATTACTAGTTTACATCCCATCAGATCTTCCCACAGGTTTGTTATGCTTCTGGCCAAGTGCTCACAACTTAGAAGACTGTCTTTTTTTATGACTGTGTTCTATCTCCTTGGATCTTTCCATTTATATGTATTTCTGCTGTCAACCTTTCCCTGGCACCTTTCCCACCTTGCCTGTTAATTGCAACTATATTGACAAAACATTTGCATTTTCTATTTTATATTCTGGTAGTAGTTGTTTAGACTTTCCCTATGCTGAGTTTCAAGATATTGTCTCATTATTTCAGTACCAATGAATATAATATCCAACTTTTATTGATCACCTTTAACATTCCAGGCATTTGCTCAACATAGATTATTTCTAATCCTCAATGTAACTTGGCAAGACAATTTATTATCCCTTCTTTACAGCTGAGGAAGATAAGATGCAAAGGGCTTTATTTTGGTCTTACTGAAGGTCACACAGGAAGTTAGTTCAAATTTGTAATCTGAAGCTGGTTTTATCTCTGGAGCTAAATTTTGTGTATGTATGTGTGTTATCTATGTCTATCTAGAGAGTGAGAGAAAAGAGAGAAAAAAGAGATGAGAGAGAAAGAGAGAGGAGAGAGGATGGGAAGAATGTGTATGGTGTTGGGGGAGAGGAAAGGACAAAGAGACAGAAACAGAGAATGCAGTTCACAGAGTCTTTTCAGGGGCAGAAGGCAGAAAACAGCTCTTGGTACTTTTATGCTCTTTTCTTTTGTTAAAAATTATTATTTTAATTTTAAAATTCAAGACAGGACAAGGTACTTGTGCAGATCTCTTCTTATTCTGTAATATGCTTGTTCCCTACAGAACTTAAGTAAACAGATAATAATAAATCAAAACAAGCAGTAAGTTACTGCCTTATGCATTTAGCAATGTAGATATTTTTTAATGTTGAAAAGAAAATTAAATTAAAATTACTGCATGCAGCTTATGGTTACAGAGCTAGTCTGAAAATCTGTTGCTATACACTCACCAGGACAAAGCGATTCGGGGGGGGGGGGTTGGTACATGGACTATATGAAGCAATTTTATTTTTCAGTGAGTAAGGCAGAAAGGTAAAAGATTCTCTGAAGCAAAAGACAAGACTTCAAAACGGAAAGCAATGCTAATGAAATCCCCTCCATCCAAATAACTAAAACACAGGTTTTGAAAACATCATGCCACCTGCGTCATTTTGAAGGGCAATGTTTTCATGGGCAGGCAGGATGCCTTCTGTTCTCATGAGACCTCATCAGCTCAAACCCGCATTTTCTTTGTGCCTCTGCACATCTGCTTTGTTCCTCAGTTTTCCACCCTTCTCTTCCAGGTCACTGGGGAATTATCAGCTGGAAACTGGCTAGCCTCATGTGGGTCCCATGCCTGTTTCAGGTGGTCAGGCTCCATCCAGACCCTAATGGTGGAAGAATACTTTCATGAACTATAAACTCTACCAAGTTTTTTCCTTTCCTTATTTCTCCTCTACTTGCCTCTTACTGTTTCACCCTCACTGAAAAAGTAGTTATATAAAAACATGCTTTGAACTATTACTTTTATCCTCCTTACATGGCAGTGTTGTTTTGTAACTTCTGCCTATTACATTTCTGCTTTGCACACATCTGTAAAGATCTCTTACCCAGGCTTTATTGCGCAGTGGAGTGACTTCCAACATTCTGTCTTTCACTGTCACTTATGCCTAATACAATCCACATACACTGATGAGATATTTTAATAAGATAGGGATGTTTATTCTCAAGGCTTCAATCAACAAATCTTCGGGGAGCATTTGGGAAACCGACACCAACTCAGATTCTGACTCTATTTGTACTTTAAGAATCCTCTCTTCCGCAAAAGCTAGGGAAAGTCCAGCCTCCCTAAGAGCATTGATCCTTAAGAACTCTGCACAGAGCTCCCGTGACTCCTGGTGGTCTGGTTGTTTCTCAGAGTTCACTCTTCCATCATAGAATAACAGAGGCACCAAGTGCCAGGCTATGGGTTAGAGCTGGTGGGAAAATGCCTTGGTTCTGTGTGTGACTGGGGTAGATGAACATATTAACAATGCTACTGTAAGCACAACGTATCTGTAATTTATCCAAAACACCTTTGTCTTTCTTCCTATATTAGTCCCATATTTATTAAAGTGAATGGTTCATAGAAAA